GCTTTGCGGGAGAGCAGGCAAGAACTGAGTGCCATGTTATTTTTCTGTTGCAAGGATAAAACACCATGACCAAAGTGAGTCAGGAAAGAAAGATTTTATTTTCACTTATAATTCCAGATGGGAAGAGTCTATTGTGGGGGAGCTGGAGCTATGGCTCAGTGGTTGAGGGCACTGGCTGCTCTTCCAGGGGACCCAAATTCAATTCCAGCATGTATATGGCAGCTCACAACTGTTTGTAACTCTCGTTATAAGAGATACAATGCTGCGTTCTGGCTCTGCAGGACACTGCACACACGGTACACAGATATGCATGTGGGCAAAGCACACATACATGTAAAAGAGTAAAATAACATTTTAAAAAGGAGTCCATCATGGTGGGAAGACATAACAGCACACAACAGGCACGGTTGCAGGAGAGGGAAGCTGAGGACTCACCTCTTCAGTACCAAGCAGAAAGCAGAGGAGAACTAGAAAAAGCACAAGGCTTCTAACTTCAATTCCCCTACTGAGTGGCATGATTCCTGCAGGAAGTCCACCCTGAACTGGGGACCAAGTGTTCATCTACCTGAGCCCAGGGCATTTTTTATTCAAACCAAAAGCTCTCCTGACATTCTCAGTGTTTGTCCCTCTAGGGTCAGGAAGGGAGAAAAGGGAGCTACCACGGAGAAAGGCCTTTCCCTGCCTCATGCTATTTTAGTTAGGGGTTGAGCCTCAGGAAAAACCAACAAGCCTTCCAGGTGAACTCCAGCTAGGGCTATTCCTTCAAATTTCATGACAACCTTCCTCCCACTCATTTCTCAGGCTGACATCCTGAGCCCATCCTTCAGAACCCATGGAGCCCATGAAATGAACAGAATTGAATTTCCTTGTCTTGCTGGGGCTCACACAGCAGCTGCCCACCAGCTGCTGCCCAGTTTATATATGCTGATTTCCATCTACAGCAGTGTGCTGATGTGACATAAAAGCTGAGACGAGATGCCATCGTGGTTATGCTCCATTGTCACTTGTCTGAGGGTGTTTCTAGAGGATCAACTAATGAGGGAATGTAAGAGGCAGCATCCCATTTGCTGAGCACCTAAGTAGAAGAAAAGAGGAAACAGAAGGACGTCTCCAAACTCCCCAGCTCAATAGTCCAGCAGTGTCAGCCACTGTCATGAGTCAGGTTCCTGGGGAAGATTTGCTGAGAAGATTTCTGAGCAAGACAATTATAAAGAACATACACCTGTTGGGGTTGAGGTAGACAAAGAAGGATATAGGCAAAAATCAAGAAAAGGTCCTGTTTCATGCAGAAAACTAGGGGTGAGGGAACCAAACCACCTTCCTGCTCCTGTATAGCCCATAAGCTAAGAGTAATTTTTGGATTTTTACATATAATACATGTGTGTAAAACAATTAAATATGCACATATGTTAAACTTAACATATTTCAATTCATATAATTAATGTATATATAATGTGTGTTATATTTTTAAATCCAACCTTGTGTGTTGGTGCACATTCTTGATGTCAGCACTCAGGAGGTAGAAGCAAGTGAATTCTATGAGTTCAAGGCTTGCTTCTTCTTCATAGCAATTTCCACGCCAGCCAAGCATGCACAACGAGATCTTGGCAACCCTTCTCAAAAAAAAAAAAAAAAAGTCCAAAACCTTCTTTAATTTTGCACGTTGACTGTAAAACCTTAAAATGTTGTTCCCTGGAATCGCATAGAAGACCCAGAAATAAACCCACACACCTATGAATACTCAATATTTGACAAAGAAGCCAAATCCATTCAATGGAAAAAAGACAGCATCTTCAACAAATGGTGCTGGACCAACTGGATGTCTACATGCAGAAAAATGAAAATAGATCCATATTTATCACCCTGCACAAAACTAAAGTCCAAGTGGATCAAGGACCTCAACATAAAACCAGATACTCTAAATCAGTTGGAAAAAAAAGTGGGAAACAGCCTAGAACTCATTGGCACAGGAGACAACTTCCTGAACAGAACACCAACAGCACAGGCTCTAAGAGCAACAATCAATAAATGGGACCTCATGAAACTGAAAAGCTTCTGTAAAGCAAAAGACACTGTCATCAAAACAAATAGACAGCCTACAGATTGGGAAAGAATCTTCACCAACCCTTTATCTGACAGAGGGCTAATATCCAGTATATATAAAGAACTAAAGAAGCAGAAAAGCAACAAACCAAGTAATCCACTTAAAAAATGGGGAACAGAGCTAAACAGAGAATTCTCGAAAGAGGAACATCGAATGGCAGAGAAACACTTAAAGAAATGCTCAACCTCATTAGCCATTAGGGAAATGCAAATCAAAACGACCCTGAGATTTCACCTTACACCCATCAGAATGGCCAAGATGAAAAACTCAAGTGATAGCACATGCTGGAGAGGTTGTGGAGAAAAGGGAACCCTCCTCCATTGCTGGTGGGAATGTAAACTGGTTCAACCACTCTGGAAGTCAATCTGGCGCTTTCTCAGACAACAAGGAGTAGTGCTACCTCAAGACCCAGCTATACCACTCCTAGGTATATACCCAAAATTTGCTCAAGTACACAACAAGGACATTTGTTCAACCATGTTCGTAGCAGCTTTATTTGTAATAGCCAGAACTTGGAAACAACCCAGATGTCCATCAACGGAGGAATGGATACAGAAATTGTGGTATTTTTACACAATGGAATACTACTCAGCAATCAAAAAGGAGGAAATCATGAAATTTGCAGACAAGTGGTGGGATCTAGAAAAGATCATTCTGAGTGAAGTATCCCAGAAGGAGAAAGACAAACTTGGTATATACTCGCTTATATAGACCTACAAGACATGATAAACATAATGAAATCTACACACCTAAAGAAGATAATCAAGAAAGTGGACACAGGCGAAGGTGATTAATCCTCATTTAGAAAGACAAATGGGATGTGCATTGAACTTATGACAGGAGTCTACCACAAAAGGCATCTGAAAGACTCTACCTAGCAGTGTTTCAAAGCAGACACTAAGACTCATAACCAAACCCTTGGCAGAGTGCAGGGAATCATATGAAAGAAGGGAAGTTAGTATGATATGGAAAGGATAGGAGCTCTACAAGGACCAAATATATCTGGGCACAGGGTCTTTTCTGAGACTGACACTCAACCAAGGACCATCTATGGATATAACCTAGAACTTCTGCTCGGATGTGGCCTGTGGTAGCTCAGTAACCAAGTAGTTTTCCAAAGTAAGGGGAACACGGACTATTTCTAACAGGATCTCAAGGGCAGGCTGTTTGACACCCCCCCCCCAGGGGAGGAGCAGTCTGTTAGGCCACAGAGGAGGACTTTGCAGCCAGCCCTGAAGATACCTGATAAAACAGGGTCAGATGAAAGGGGAGGAGGTCCTCCCCTATCAGTGGACTTGGAAAGGGGCAGGGAGGAGACCAGGGAGGGAGTGTGGGGTTGGGGAGGGAATGAGGGAGCGGGATACAGCTGGGACGCAGAGTTAACAAAATGTAACTAAAAAGAAAAATTAAAAAAAAAAGTAACAAAAGAAAAAAAAAGAGAATGTGAATTTAAAAAAGGGATGGGGAGGAGAAAATGGGAGGGTTTTAAAGATACAAAAGGAAGGAATATTGTAATTATTATAATATCAAAAATTAAAACAAAAAATGTGGAAAAAAAAGATACCCAAAAAGTTGTTCTCTGACCTCCACACAAAATAAATAAATGTTTTTTTTTAATTTAAAAAAAAAAATGTTGTTCCCTGACCTTTATAGTAGAAACCTTGAACAATGTTCTAGGATAAATTAGTTGGTACGTGTTTATCACACAAATATGAGGGCCTGGGTTTACTTGCCCAGAACTCACATCAAAAGTCTGGGCACAGTGGAACACATGTGTAATTCCAGTGCTGGGGGTGGGATACAGACAGGAGAATTCCCTCGTGCTTAATGGCAAACGAGTCTAGAAAAAACATTCCAGACTCAGTGAAGCCCCATCTCAAAAAGAAGGTGGAGGGGCCAGCAGGACAGCTCAGGGAGGACAGTGCTGCGGCAGCATCACAACCTGAGTGCAAATCCAAGAACCAACAGTAGAAGAGTCAAGTCCCCAGAATTGTCTCTGACCTCTTTGTACATCATGGCATGCAAGTACCTGCACGCACATACACTAATAATAAGAAGAAGTAAGAATTTTAAATTAAATAATAATAAGATAGAGATTGAGTAACCTGACATCAGCCTTTAGCCTCTACGTGTATGCCCACACACACATCATCACACAAACACACATACACACACCAAAACAAAACACAATGAGATATAAATGATGAAGAGTCTTTGACCCAGTTTTGAATTTAAGTAAAATATTTTGGTGGTCGTTTTGGAGCTGTTGCTATGAACTCGTGTTGGCTACAGTAAATAATCTGTTGGAGATGTGTGCTTAATTATTTAGAGTAGAAATGTCACAATGATTGTAATTTACTCTAAATGCTTCAATAAAGCAGATGAGGCAAACACAAAAGAATGCTAATGATCATTAAGTTGAGGTGATGGATCTCTTCCTACAGTCTCATTATCGTGTGTGGAAAAATCTACAGTTATAAAATTAATGTTCATCTTTAATTTTTTTAACCTCTGCAGCTAACCCGTCCTCTAAGTCACATCTGTCTTACTCTCTGAATTGCTTGCCCAATCTCCCTTTTCCATTACTACTGACACAGCTTTAGCTAAGCCCTCATCACAGATCACACAGCCGGAGAAATCAGATTCTAAAGATACTTTATTTTTAATCGCGCTTGCATACATGACTACAGGTGCCTGCCAGGACCCCAAACCTCTGATGTGGGGAAGTCAGTCTCGCCGGCATACTGGAATTTAGAGTCACAGCAGAAACACGTTTCTGCGCATGTCTGTGATGGAGTTTCGATTCTGGGTTAACTGAAATGGGAAAACCCACTGTAAATGTAAGTAGCAGAATCCCATAGGCTGGGGCCCTGGACTGAACAAAAAGGAGAGTATATGCCCCCTGGCAAAGCGCAAAGAGACGCTTTGGTGGTGGTGTTCGCATATCAGTCAGGGGCAGAGCAGATGGCAGCCCTTTGTTCGTCGTAGCTTGATGGCTGGCTTAGCGGCCAAAGCTGTTTAATACCTTGGACACATAAAAATCAAATCAAATCAAATCCAGGCAGTGCAGTGCAGGAGGAAGAGGACAAGAGACCTCTTTCTGAAATGCTACGTGGTGCAGGCAGGAAAAGCCTGCCCTCCCCTCCATGGCACAGACAGACCATAGACATACCGAGTAGACAGGTAGCTACCACCACACAGCACAGCACAGCAAGGGAGGAGGAACACAAAGAGGCCTGCAGACTGCCATAGTACCCACAGACCTGCCCTCCCACTCACAGCATAGGCGGAAATAGATGCCTCCATGCCCCATGCTATGTAGCACAGCGCAGCTCAGACAGAGGATGTCATGCAGATGATTTCACCTAGGGCCCACCAGATATGTAGCCAGCCTACAGCAGGAGCCACCACAGTGTGCAAGTACGTGGTAGACAGATGGGAAAGACAAGTGAAACAGCTTGAGCATTATGAAGAAAGATGGATCTGGAGACCATCGAGTGGCCAGACACACCACCTGGGCCCATGGTGAGGTTCCAGGCTGAGCTGCTGCTGATGGCTGCTCTGGGGTCTATGGCTATGAAGTGGCAAGGGTCAGTGTCAATGTCCATGGCTCATGTTACCACTAGAGAACATGGGGACATTTCTGGTCAGGGCAGTCACTGGTGACCACGTGGTTGTCCAAGGGCTATGCAGAGCACTCAGGGCCTGCACCTGACCAAAGCAACACAGGTGAGCCAGCCCTGAGGGTGAGAGCACAGGAGAGCTGGCCCCACCATTCATCTGCCTTAAGGTGGCATGGGTGCAGGCGTGATGCCAGACCCCAACCCCTCACCCCCATTACCTTTGGCAGTTAGGAGAGCTGGCCTGGGATCATGGGAGTGGGTGAACTGGCCCTGTCCCTTGCCAGCTGCAGTACTCAGGATAGCAGGCCCTGCATCTCTCCTGGGCAGCAGAGTAGAGCTGGATCTGATGGGGAAAATGCAAGGGATCCAACCCCAAGAGAGTGAGAGTAGGAGAGCTAGCCCAGCTCCTCACAGGCTACAGCACTTGAAAGAGTGGGCCCTGTGCTTTGACTGGGTGGCACAGTGGAGCTGGCCCTGCCTCCTGCCAATGGCAATGACAGCATTGGGTGGCCTAACTGGAGCAGTGCTGGAGAACTCACCCTGGTGCTGAGGATAAGGGAGAGCTGGTGCGCTGACCAGCTCAGCTACGGTTCAGGCCCAGATCCAGGGCTCTGCATTGGCCCACCCCAAAATCTATATCATCTGTGACTGGTTGGTTTGAGAAAGAGCCAGTTCTGGTGATCCAAAGCTGCACTATCACCATGACACAAGGCAACAACAGAATAACCAAGAGGAGTCATGGTGAGGATCCAATACTGATGGAGTCACAAGAGCCAGAGACCTCAAACAAGACCAATAACTCATTGCAATGAACCTTTTGCAAGTGAAAATGTGTGAGTAGAGGGAAATATTGTGGGACACACTGTGACATACCACAGCTTCCACAATGAAATGATTTTTCTATGCTTTCTGGTTTTTTTTGTGTGTGTTTGGGTGTGTGTGTGTTTTTTTTTTTTATTTTGGGGGAAGGTTGCAAGAGCAAAGGGTGGTATGAGGGGACAGGGAGATGAGCAGGGCTGGGGTACAAGATGTGAAACACACCAAGAGTCAATAAAAAGTTGAAGTGACTGAGCACCAATGCTTCTCTCTCTCTCTCTCTCTCTCTCTCTCTCTCTCTCTCTCTCTCTCTCTGCTTCCTGACTGCAGGCACACATGAGCAGCTGCTTCATGCTGCTGCTACCATGATTCCCCATCATGATAGACTGTGAATGCTCAAACTGTGAGCGCTCAAACTGTGAGCCAAAACAAACCCTTCCTCCCTTAAGTTGCTTCTTTTTCCATTTCAAACAAAAGTACTTCTATTTTTCTTTAAAAGTATTAATAAAAATCTTGACACACTGAGAAAGTTACAATTCTACAAGTTACAGAATTGTGCTCAATCATAATTTTGGAAGATTGACTTCCATGCATTCACATTTCCCACCACTTGGCTCCTTAACTATTATGTGCTACTGGTTTCTTAGGTATGGAACCCCAGAATGAGAAATGGACCACTCAACTATTGCAGGTTAGTCTGGTGCTGCTGTGTATTGGCCCTCAAGATCTGGTTGCTGTCCAGACAAGTACATTCTCATGTACACAGAATGATGTGTAAACTTGGTTCCCTTATTCTCACTGATTAGCTAATATAGAAAGGCTGGCGCCTGTAGCTAGGCAGAATAGAGGTAGGTGGGCCTCTGTTCCCAGGCTTGGGGTCAGAGGCAGGGACTACAAGGAGGAGAAAGGAGCAGAGGAGAGAGAGAAGGAAGAAGATGGAGAAAGAGGAAGTGGCTGAGGGAACAGATCTAGTCCAGACAGGATGTTGGCAAGTAACCTGAGAAAAACATCTGGGAGTTAGCCAGACTAGCTTAGAAAATTAGCTTAAATCACACCTACCTAGTTATTATGCTAAATCTGCTTTAATAAATCAATAGGTCTCTGTCTCAATTGTTTTGGGAGCTAGCAAGCTGATAAGACAGTTCTTTGGAGTTAAATAAATATTCAACAACACTCAATCATGTATCCACAAAGATGACAATGAGACGTTTGTTCATATCTACAAGGGACACCAACACACTATCTCCGTAGGAGAGAGATGAACAGCTTAATTTCCTTTTTTATTTTGTCTTAAACTGATATATTAGCCAGTATGATGGCCACCCCTGTAGTGAGAAAGCAACATGCTTCCCAGAGCATCAGGGTCATCCAGACAATCTGGAGGTATGGGAGGTTGGTTGGGGGTGGATTATAGGTGGTCCCAAAGTGAATGAGGGCATCCAATACGGCAAGAACAGGGCACGGAGGTGGTGGAAGTGGTGAGCTATTGAATGTTAGGCCTGGCTTTCCTGATCCCAGTCCTGACCCTGACATCAGGAGTGGTGGAAGGAGATCTAGAGGAAGTCTGGCTTTCATTTTCATTTTCCTGAGCACTCGGTTCTGTATTGGTAGCTACTTCACAGGGTGGGGAAAGTAGATCAGACAGATTTTGCTCTGTTCTGTTTCCACATCCAGTATAAACTACAACACAGGTTCCTCTCTAAGTCAACTGAAGCAGTGGTCGGTGGGTAAATACAGCTGCCTTCTGACCAAACAGCAGAACATATTACCAACTTTCCACTATTTTCTTTGGCTTTTTAGTCTTCTTAGCAAGTTTTCTTTTAGCTGTGCCTTTCAGTTTATTTGGTTTCACAAATGTCACCATTCTTTCAAGAAGTCTTAAAGAAAGCCACACCTTTTTTTTTTTTTTTTGGTCTTGTTTTGTTTTTTTGTTGTTTTGTTCTGTTTTTCAAGACAGGGTTTCTCTGTGTAGCCCTGGCTGTCCTGGACTTGCTTTGTAGACCAGGCTGGCCTTAGACTCACATAAGTCTGCCTGTCTCTGCCTCCTGAGTGCTGAAATTAAAGGCACTTCCAGGCCCAGGAAGCCATAGCTTTGTCATAATCTTTCATCAATGTTGTATCACCCCAAATTTCAGCATCATCATTCTGGCTGGTGCCAAGCTGCAACAGCACCACGTATTCCTGTTACAAGACCATGGTGCTATTGCCCATCTCCATGGCTCTTAAGTTGCTTCTTGTCAAGCATTTTGTCACAAAAAAAAAAAAGTGACTAAGAAGAAACTGCTGCTAGTCACTCTTAGTTAGTTCATGGCCATGTCCCTGAGTCAAAGACCTAGATTTTTATCAGCCACTCAAGAAACAATCTATAATTCCCTTGTTTTTAATTGCTGAGTAGTATTCCATTGTGTAAATGTACCACAATTTCTGTATGCATTCCTCAGTTGATGGACATCTGGGTTGATGCCAGATGCTGGCTATTACAAATAAAGCTGCTATAAATATGGTTGAGCAAATCTCTTTGTTGCATACTTGTGCATAGTTTGGATATATGCTTAGGAATGGTGTTATGCCAGGATCACGGGACCCTCAGAGACCACCAGGAGACAACTCAATGCAAAAACAAGGGAGCTTTATTACGAGAGGGATTAAACTCAGGACCTAAGTCTCACTGACGCAGTAGTAGAGAAGTGGGACCCCAAGCCCTGGGTGAGCAGAATTTTTAAAGGAAAAAAACGCAAGTAGGAGGTTTCCATGACAACAAGCAGGGAGATTTATGCCTTGGCATTACAGGATTGGGTAAAAGTCATAGGGGCGACGTGACCCTCTACCTGAGGCACATAATCATAATTGCCATTCTTCTAAACTACATCTGGAATGTTGAAGAGAATTTTCCCAACTGTTTTTCATTGATTGCTGCCAATGAGATTGTCTCTGTTTTCTACCAAGTATTATTCTGTGATATTTCCTGGAGGCTGTTGCTAGAAGAGTTAACTTTGTTTTCTGCAAAGTGCACATTCTGTGATATTTCCTGGTACCTGAGTTCAGCTCCTGGTCAAGATGGCTTCTTGACTGTCTCTGACATGAGTAATGATGTTGAGCATTTCTTTAAGTGTTTCTCTGCCATTCGATATTTCTCTATTAAGAATTCTCTGTTTAGCTCTGTACCCCATTTTTTAATTGGATCACTTGAATTGTTAGTGTTTAACTTTTTGAATACTTTATATATTCCAAATATTAGCCTTCTGTCAGATATGGGGTTAGTGAAGTTCCTTTCCCAATCTGCAAGCTGTTGTTTTGTTCTGATGATAGTGTCCTTTGCTAAAGTTTGACTCATAGCCAAACTTTGGGCAGAGTGCAGGGAATCTTATAAAAGAAGGAGGATATAGAAAGACCTGGAGGGGACAGGAGCTCTACAAGGAGACCAAAAAACCAAAAAATCTGGGCACAGGGGTCTTTGCAAAGATGGTACTCCAACCAAGGACCGTGCATATCAATAAACTAGACCCCTTGCTCAGATGTAGCCCATGGCAGCTAAGTCTCCAAGTGGGTTCCCTAGTAAGGGGAGCAGTGGCTGGCTCTTTGATCACTTCCCTCTGGAG